TATAAGGAATTATTTCATTTTAATTCCGCGACGAAATACTAATTGGAGTTTATTTCATATAATATAAAGTCAAATTATTGATTTATATATAGGGCTCGGTTGTATTTAAAATATATATTTTTAATAAAAAAATAAAAGAGTTACTTTTGAATAATCTTACTTCTTGATTTATCAATTAGCGTAGATATCATATCATCCATCGTGGATTAATGCGACACGCGGAGCGACTCATGCCGCACGTCCGTCTCCCTCTGAAGTCGACAAGTGAATATCGAAATGACGACGTAGTTAACCACCGCGCCGCGCGACACGCTTCCCCTTGCCGCGCGGCACGTTCCCCCTCACCTACGAAAAGCGAGGGGGAGCGTGTCTTCCCACCTCGCTGTTCGTCGCGCGTCGTTTGGATACCCAATTATTGCACATAAAAAATATTCACGGTTCACTCAATTATTCGTATTTTACATGATTTTAACTAACGGGTATCGTCGTACATTTCGCGCTTTGCTTTGTAGCATCTCTCTGATACTTGTTCAATTCTATATTGTTTGCGGGATTCTTTTAAATCTCGCAAATAATAATTAATAATTAATTAGTAATTAGTAATTGTTCGCGTGGGGTATTTTTGATATTCTCTAATATTATATCTCAATTTTTATTATTCTTTATTGCACGATTCTTGCTTTATTTCTCCAATTTGTTACGCACACAATTAATCTATATCTTAGATATTTCAAAAATTGTGTTACAATAAGCGATTATTATATATAGTTCGTAATAATTTTTGGTTATACGAAATCTGCGCAATGTACGCAATATATTTAACGAAAGGTTAATGCATTGTTACTATTTGTTACTTTTGAATTGTTTAATTCTCTCCCGTCTTATTCCGCATTCTGGAATCCGGGAAAAGTGTAATAGATAAATATATTTAAATTATATATTGTTAAATATAATAAAGATAATAGATAGAATTATATTGTTAAATATATACAATATATAAATTATATATTGTAAAATATATATTTATATATATTTTTAATAAAAAAGATTTGAAAAGATTCAATTTTTTTGTTTTAAATAACTTCTTTCAACCTATTTCTTAATTATTTTTTAAATAAGTTTTCGAAATTTATTTTTTATTTTTTATTATTTTTTCTAAATAAGTCATATCAGTCAGGGATCGATCGTGTTAAAAACAATCATATTTAAAATATGTATTTTAAATAAAAAAATAAAGCAGTTATTTAGTATTTATTATTTTAGAGAAAACTTTTTCTGACTTATATTTCTTATTTAATTTTTGAAGTAAATTTTTGAAATCTAATAAGGTACGATGTTTCGTATTATCTAGCATTTATTACGATTATTTTAAAAAGAAATATGAACAAGAATGGCACGCTACCTGCCTGTACGAGCCTCGGTAATGAAATAATTGCGCGGTAAACGGAAATAACTTCGCGTAAACGTGACGTGTCGCTCGCTCGTCTTTTCGCGCCAAAACAATCGCGCCGATCATTCAACTGTCGAAATATTAACATATTACAAAATAAGTAAAAGAATACATTCTTTACACTTTTAATGTCCTCCGATATGGGCATTATTACATAGTTTTTGCTTTATTTCTTACATTGAATTCATTATGCATTCACATAGCTCATGAATATCTAATTTAATTGTTACATTAAGTGATTATTAGTTTATAATAACCGGAAAAAAAATATTATACATATATATAGATATATTTTATATATAATTATATATACAATTATATGTGAAACATTTTTTCCCGGCAACTTTATGTTATACACAATTCGCGCAATGTACATAATTTAATATTTTTAACAAAATATTAATCCCTTGCAGTTTCTTTTTATTATATACTTTTGAATTACTGAATTTTGTCAATTTATACGTGTTATTTTTCATTCTTAATCCAAAAAAGGTAATAGGTAAATTATATTCAAATTCACAATGCAATGTGGCTTTTGTCGAATTCTAAGCATAAAGTTAAAAATACGATACCAATTGAAATAAATCAGTGATTTGTAATTCCTGTATTCTATGGCTGTAATCAAAGTCTCACCGCAATTGCTTTGAAACATCATAGGCGGTCTATTTCAGGTATAAACGTAGCTGATGTAAACGTAGCTGGTGCCGAGTACCGATTTGAATTGCTCAATGTTACCAATATAGTGGAATCAGATTGGTTACCAACTTAAAACGTTCGCAATCGGTGGAGCAAATGAGCAATATGGAGTCTTTATGTGACACGGCGCCGGGTGGTCGTATTAAAAATTTTATCGAAACTTCGTAATAATATTACAATAGATCGAATACGGATGTATTGCTGAGAAAATTGTTTTTGGTCGCCTACCGTTTAATGCCATTATGCTTTCGAGCAGAGTTTAATTTTTAACAGCGAATATATAAAAAGTTGTATTTAGGTTAGCCTCTTGTTTTGGATTGACAGGACCAGAGTAGAGAAATTCTAAAGAGATGTACCTGAACATCTATCGACTGTTGTCACGAACATGCGTGAGGCAAATACACACCAGTGTGTCGCGAAATTTAATGAAAGACCATTCTGACAACATGTTCCGAAAGAAATTACGTTCCACTGCTTTTTATTGGTCTGGAGTCGGAGTTCTGGTAGTTGGTTTAAGTTACTCTGCAGTGCCTTTGTACAGAATGTTTTGTCAGGTGCAGTTGTGGTTCTCTAAAGAATTATTTTATATTACTTAATTCGAGCTTAATCTCATGTTACTTTAATAAATTGAACATTATTTGTATAACCATTAGCAAATTCTATCATTTGCATTACACTAGATTAGCAATATAAAAAGGCTGTTTATAATTAATGATATAATAATATAATAAAACTGCGCATGAAATTGGCAAAGTTAAATATAAGAGCATAATAAATATTTAAACTTTATTGGTTGATCTAAAAATTGGAGGGACTTAGTTTACATTAAACGTTTAAACTTTTTACATTCTCACTCATCCATTTTTTCTCCTTTATAAAAGCACATAAATATTTTAAATGATCGAATATTCAATAATGATACTGTCACGTTATTCAATAAAATATATATATATATTATTTTATTGTCAAAAAAAAGTTGATTATATTATGTCATTACATATAGATACTTCATATAAAACAGCTTTTAGTGTATATTAATTCAGTGTAATGCGAATTTATCTTATATTTATTTTATATTGAATTTTCTTTTTTGTTCTGTAGGCATACAGTTATGGTGGAACGTTATCAGTTGGTCATGATGCTAGTAAAGTGTCCACGATGACACCTATTAGAAACAGAAAGATCAAAATTATGTTCAATGCAGATGTGGCGTCGTCGATGCAATGGAATTTCAAACCACAGCAAAAGGAGATTACGGTTATTCCTGGAGAAACGGCTTTAGCATTTTACACAGCCACAAATCCGACCGATAACCAAATTGTAGGAATATCCACATATAATGTTTTACCATTCGAAGTAGGACAATACTTTAATAAAATACAATGCTTCTGTTTCGAGGAACAGATGCTTAACCCACATGAACAAGTAAGTTCGTTAGCATCAAATAAATGATCTACAGTCCAGTTTTTTCTATTTTTGGCAACAGCTATATTTTCTATTTTTTTTATATCAGTTATTTTCTAACAGAAATTATGAACATTTATATAATATATATGATTAAATAAGGCAGTGTGTAGTATAAATTATGTATATTCTTATGTATTAAGGTTGACATGCCAGTGTTCTTCTTCATTGATCCAGAATTCGTAGAGGATCCAAAAATGGAGTGTGTTAATGAAATAATTCTCTCCTATACGTTTTTTGAAGCCAAACCTGGATTTAATCTGCCTGTACCGAGCTATGCCAAAAGTCATTCAACAAAGTAAAGTGTAATTATGTTTAATAGTTCTAGCGTAATTATGACAATTGTACAAACGAATAAATATTTAATATATAATATATTTTTTCAAACCTCTTTTTCGTGGAAATATCACGTAGCCTAAATTCCTTTAGGAGTGTATTTCAAGTGATAACATGACTGAATATTCTCATAAATGGCAGTATTCATATGTAGAGCACGGCATTAACGGAGAATATATCTTTAAAATCTAAATAAAGCGTTAACAGGATACGCACGTCTAAGACCACAAACTTTTTCCTTATCGATATATATTGCGTCTAATTTCAGAGCGAGATCGTGTTCAAGCATAGTTCGAGTTCGCAGCAGTTTCTGATGTTGATTCTCAAGTTCTTTCAACGACTTGTGCATGCGCTCGAGTTGATGATTTATTTCGTCAATCTCTTTCTGAAGACTGCAAAATAAGAATAATATTTTCAAATAATGTTCACATATATACATATATTGCTGGTACATTATAAAGTTATATACCTTGCGTAGGCATAATCACGACATAATTCCATATCAGGACGATGCATCCTCGCTTCCATCCTCGTATGTGCAACTTTAGTCGCATAACTTTTGTCCGCGATAGCCTTACGCATTAATTCCAAATTTTTTTCAATGTCGAATATTTCCTGTTGCACCTGTAATATTTTATGAATCGCATTTAATCCGAAAAGGCTACATACGTAACACTTTGTACCTTTTGCAAATGCTGTTGCAGTTTGTTCTTAGCCTCAAGTAATTCGGACGATCTATGTGTTAAAGCGTTGTTGGTATTACTCCAAGTATTCCACATTTCCTGAGCGACTTTATTTACAAGACTTTCGGCAGTGGTGCGTAATTGACAGGATTTGTTCCGTTCTGTTTGGGATCTTTGCACTATTCTATTCACTGCATCCGCCCAGGTTTCTTGCTCTGAAACACTAACAAGCTAACAATTAATTATAATAGTTATTAAAAATTGTACAAATACCATTATATAATTAAATACCATGGATCATATTTCTCAATTCCAGAATAATATTGTAATCCATGGGTGTGATTGCTCAATTGGTGGCAAATACTATCTATGCCTAGGGCACTCTCCTTATTTTTTAAATCCAATTCTAGTTGATTCTGTGAAGCTCTGCAATTTCGTAACTACAAGCAGAATAACATTAATTATTTAAATCATATTGGTTAACTAGGAATTCTGTTATCATATAAATTAAGGTATAATTTACCTGATCCTTGCATTTGTCCAAACAGGCTTCTAGTTTCTTTTGATTTGTCCGCAAGTTTTCTACTTCTCGCAATAAACATTTTTCCGACTCGTCATGTACCAATTCTGTGCCTAAAAATATAAAATTAGTTTTATTGTAACTTTTTACACGCACAATATCTAAAACATGAAATATAAATTAAAAATAGTTTTGTAATATTCTGCATACCTTTTCTAGCTTCCCTGTGATACAGACACTCTTCTGCGATGTGTAAAGGTCCTTCAATATCTCGTGATGCCTTTTCTAAAATATTTCTGCAATCATGGAGTCTCTCGATTTCATGAAGCATTCTCTCTAGTTCAGCTGCTACTTCGTTGCGCCAAAAAGTAATATCGTTTATTCTCTCGCCAAGTCTTCGGCTGGTATCGTATTGACCATGCTGTATCTTTTCCTCGGCATTTCTGAAAAATATTTGAATTCAGATTTAACATCGGTTTTATGCACAATATATTTAAAAATTATTCTGAAAAAGTTGTACCTGATAATTCTCAGGGCATCGTTTCGCGTCCTCTCGGAGTAATGCCTCTGTGAATCTGCCTCGTTGTAATATCTCACTTGTTTCTGAAACCATTCGTGTGGTGTGTATCTCGTATAAAGAGCGGCTTGTGATGCATGAACAGGATTGCGTTGATAGCCCGTGATCAGATTTGGAAATTTCAACGGCCTTGTACTCATTTTATTACTTGCGTCCAGTGCATAACTTGATATCGACTTTGTGACTCTGCAAAATATAATATAATTATACTCTTCATATCCATGTCCAGATCTGTGTGCTGAATATTTATTCGAGATGAGGATAAGAGTAAGAGGATTTACCGAGAATCGGCAGTGATATAGTAAAACAGCAAAAGTTGTTAAATCATATATAAAAGTACAGTATCTGTTTGTTAAATCAATATCATAAATTATTCTATAAAGAGTTCACAGCATGATGTCTTATAGTTGTTATCATAGGAGTAATGCTAAAGCAAATGAATCATAACTAATTCTAAGAGAAAATGTTGAATCTACTTACAAGGGGACAACTTCTGTATTCTCGAACCCAACATTCGGTCTCCATGGTAGTAAATGGTGTGTACGAGTATAGTCACCTATACGAATTGGAACTACTGGTTCCATATAAGACATTGAACCAGCGGCTGTACTCCATGGTTGTAATTGCTATAAATTAATATATTAAAGTGTATAGTTAAAAATAATTGTTTCTTGTTTCATCTTTGTGTGAAGAGTTTAAATTACATATATTTTATTTTAAATTTATATTTAATGTCAGCATGTTCCTAGAATTATTTTTCTGACAGAAAAGTAATATTTTTATTAAATCTTGAGAAATAAATAAACATCAATAATTATGTGTTCTGTTAAATAAATCTATAGATTATAATAGATATATAATTATTCTAATATAATGAAACAAATATACATTTATTATACATCAGACATTATTTGTGAGATGCAACAAATTAAAATAAAAGAGCCATATTTTTTAATTAAAAAAATTTATTAAAAAAATTAAATTAAATTATCCTAGTTAAATAATTATGATAAAATAATGTTATTGTTATATCCTTTCTTTTGTATCCTTTCTTTTCTTCTTGAAAAAAGAAAAAAATAGCAAAATAAAAATATAGTAGTACATTTTGAAAAAGTTTTTTATATTCTTATACAATCATCAATGTGTATATCAGAGAAAAATTAATAATCCAACATGGCAGATGTACCTAGCGAAGCTCCCGAACGTGAGTTGTATACTAAATACAATTTTAATCGATATTAAAAATAAATTGAATTAATTAAAGACATATAAACTTGATATTCATTGGAATTACATAATTATTGATATGTATCATTTATATATATTATATTATGCTTAGAATGAATCAGAATTAAAGGTTATGTTAGAACAGTACTGTATATTTTAATTTTGATACTTTTCATTCATTGTTTATGAAACATATAATATTTTAACGTTACATTTTAAAAATACTAACTAGTTTTTACTTAAAATAATAAAATAAGCTATCTTTTGCCATATTGATATTATGAATCTTTTTTTTTTGCTAGATCCTTTCTATTATGGCTGTGTTTCAAAATTGACTTCTAGTACTGAAAATTTATATGCACGTAATGTAAACTGTAACGTTTTCAGTGCTGGCAATAATTTTAGAACACGGCCTATATGT